TTTTAAACATTAATCAAATTTAAATTATTTGAAAATAAAGCACGTGGATCAAACGTTTCTGCAATCTGAGTCTCAAAGCTGCTGTCAGCAAAATGAAAAATCGCATTAAAATGAAAAATTCCAAGAAGAAATTTGAAGTTCTGTTCGAGATTATATCGTAGATCCACTTCTAAGAAGTAGATACAGTTTTCAAGAAAGCAAATGTTCGTTCCCTACTGTAATTTTCGAAAAGATACTTTTGCTGGTTTAACTGCACCGTCATCACTCGTATGCTGCGAAATAATTTTATCATCAATATCAATGATATCCGTAGGGCTCCCTCGAGACCTTTAGTGGCTCTAGGAAGCTCATTGACGACGACGATCGAGAGATAATCCAGGTTTGCCGATGGTCTTAAACAGTTAAGCAATTGAATGCTCTCGTAATCTGACCTCAAAGAGCAGAGAATGGACTAAGGAAAGTTCGCATGGTTCGCAAAGTGCGGTATAAAATTCATTTTCCAAGCAATATCGTTCCTTCTCTTCATCTTCCTTCCTTTAATTCTTCTTTATCTTTTACGCCCTACTTTTCTTAAATAAAAGAAGAGAGGGAACTTCTCTGCTTATAACGTACACCGCGTATAAAACGAAGTTTCAGAAGATAAAAAATAAAACGCGTTGCATAGTTATTTAACTTGCGTTGAATATTGAAAGGATTACCGTTGCAGAAGGTTGAGTTTTCCTCACTTCTACGCTGAAGTTTCTATTTTAATTTCGATATGCAGCGTCGGAGCGGAATTCAATATGAAATTTTCATTCACGCTGCTGTTTGGAGGAAACTGCGTTCATCGGTGTTCAGTTTGTCATTCAAAAGCATTAAAAAAACGACAGTCTACCATATCTCAACACTATCAAAGGCAGTATGAGTACAAAATCAGCTTAAAAAAATGACAAATTATCTCACCTTTCTTAGAACACAGTCAAATAACATTGTTAATTGACATTAACTATTTTTTTAATTCTCTATAAGAAAGAAACGTGTACACTACCGGCCAAATGTTTAGAATCACTGTGCATTGCAAGTTACACAAAAATTTCCAGAAAAAAGTAAGCAATTTTAAGAAATTTTTAACGAATTTTTTATAATTTATATTAATCGAAATGGGGTTAATTACTATTGACCTCTGCAACATCATTTCAAATCTATAAAAAATTAGCAACAGATTCAATATTGGTGAAAATTGACAAGTGATTCCAAATTTTTGGCCGGTAGTGTATTTAAGAATATGGACGAGTTCAAAACTGTCCTAAGTCATACACTCCCATTCATAAATATCAGAAAGCATACCGAACCTGAACCACACCTAAACAATCTTCACGAAACAATTAAAATCCCCAAACAATTATTTAACAAATTCCAAATGGTACTGAATCAACGAAACACAATTAAAGTCACACTATACATTCTCCACTCGCCTAAAGAGTATTCCAATACCTCCGAACAACAGCAAACGCACTGAACAATATTTGTTATTGCCCGTGATTGTGGCGATGAACTTTCGAGCCTTGTAGATGTTTGCACGATGTTGTGCCGTTTAGATACTGGTTCGAAGGACCACCCAATATGATCGGGACTTGTAAAAACTGATCTATGGTATCGCGTGATGTGAGCTGGTTGCTCCTTGGTTCTCCTTGTTCGTGGTGGTTGAACGACTACTCGACGACTCAACTCTCCGACGTCGCGTCTCGTGAGAGGGATTTTCGTTGGGACACGCTGATTGGTTAATGGTTAACGATTGCATTTGCCAATCAGCGTAACTAATATCGTCTTTACCGCCCTTCCGGTGCGCCCTTAGCGCGCTGTCACCTTGGAAGGGTGGGAGACGGTCGCGAGGGGTGGGCGGAAGGTCCCAAAAATCTGGAATTTCCTCCGGGTGACTAATCGGCAAGCGGACCGTTACATACAGATATGCCAGCGCGAGGGACACAAATTACTAAAAATCTAGCAAAGCAATTCTAGTGACCCTCGCAGGATGTAATTAGACCCGTGCAAGCAATAAACGAAAATCCTCAACTCAAAAATAACCGTTCCCGGTCGATCGTGCCATAAACCGTTTCTACAGAAAACCTAACAATATTATTCCTCAAAAAGTCTAATCCTACTTCCTCTAATTAACCGAGGCATTTAGAAATTAATCAACGTTGAATCCCCAATTTGCCGGGCTTCGCGTACACCCATGGTGAAATTTCACCGTTAGTTTGCCCCGAAATGAAATCAATACAGGGAAGAGCACAGATCACAGAACGGTTGGGCCTAGAGGAAAAACGATTAACAGTTTGGAACGAAGGGGCGACACGGCGGATCCCTTAATGTTTATCGGGCGCATGCTCTACTTGGGTGCTCGCATCGAAACCAGTCCAACGCAAAGCGGGGTGCCGTATTATTGATCAAAATGTGTACACGCTGTTCGACGACGAAAATCTTCGAAATTATATACGCGGTATCGATTATCGGCTCTTCCCGGCAACGACACCGCGAATTTTCTATCGTAACCTCACACACCCCTATCTTCTACTTTTGTCGATCGAATATATACCAATTAAGGGACTCCTTCTCTCCTGGTGAATCGACCAATTGGAAAATACTGTTTGGAAAGAAGAGAAGAAGAAAAGAGAGAAATAAATTGTTTAAACGAGGACAGTATGTTAATGTAACATGGTGTATAAAGCGAGAGGTGGCAGAGTCGAGGCCACTTTAACGCTGAACGAGGACAACGCTATCGATCGTGTAACGCTAACGAGCAATTTCGCGTATTAAAATCCGTACTTTATCGATCACGGTTATTGGAAACGTGTATCGTCCGCAATGTGGCGGAAAGTGAAACGTGCTTGCGTAATGTTTTATTTTTGACGAGACAGATTTATCGTTTGCCAAGCTGCAATCCTCCAATTTCTCCTCTTTGCTTCTATTAATAACAATTGACGGATTAATCGTTGATCGTATTTCATTTCCTGGTCGCACAGTGGATGGATGGATAAAGGCGAGTCGTTCGATTGAATTTTTCATAAGTCGAATAAGTTTCTATTTTCTAATATTGTTTGTCAATTCATTCACGTTTCGTATGCGTGCATAGAATAAAAGAGAGAAGAAGTAGAAATGGTAGAGATTTTGGATTAATTTTAATTAGATTTCCAATGGATTTATTTACGATTTGGAATTGATATTAAGGAGCGAACACGATTGTCGGCGGGATCTTTTAACCTCGAAGAGTAGTTGACCACGAATATTCAACGCGCTCGAGAAAAAAAAAAGCTGCAGAGTTCACAGTCGGTCCGACCGGGAAGGGATAAGAGCAGGTTGAAAGTGGAAACGGGGTGAGTTGTTGGAGTTAGGCTCGAGGCTGGGGCGGAGGTGGTTAGGTCAGAATCGATGCTTGCGTCCTTGCCTGGCCTCACAAGTGGCCTCACTCACGCATCCCATATAAAGGTCGTTTCACATCAAACGAAAAGGTGACACGCGTTCTCTATTCTTTCTTCGACATCAATTTAGACGTTCGCGATTTTCCACGAATCGGGTGAAACCAAATTTTTCAACCACTTCGTTTCTGCGATGCACCCAAAGTTTAGAGAAACATGTCGAAAATTTTTGCACACTTTTTCTAATTCTGTGAAATTGAAATTACTCTTGTTTTAATTTTTTTCGATTTTGCGATATATGTACATCAAATATTTTACAAGAACTTTAGATGGTAGTTTAGAAAAAGATATCGAAAATTTTTGCACATTCTTTCGAGTTCTGTGAAATTGAAATTATTCGTGTTTTAATTTAGAAAGTTTATTTTACCGTTTCATTTCTATGATACCTATTGCGATCTAAGAACATTGTTTAAAGGAAGACTTTGAAATGTTTTAATTCTATGGAATTGAAGTTATTGCTCGTATTTTAATTCAGAATGTTTAACTATCGTTCTCTGTTCTGACGGAACTAGAACGACACGTTTATGCCAATATATCATGCAACCGTAACTACAGTGGATCTAACGCCTGATCTTAAACAAACAAGTGAATTGTGCATCGAGAAGCAGACACGAGGGCTGCACAGTGTCATCGTTTATGGCTAGGTATTCGTATTGCTGGCGATTGCAAACATTCACCTGACTGTGTATTCGTGTAATTTCAGATAGTGTTCTAACTGGTCGTTCATACAATCAGTTGCACCGATACGCGACTAGAAAACGATTGATAGGAAATGTAAGATACTGTAGAATGTTTGAAGAGAAAATTGTATTGCC